AGCCCTAACGAAGTTTGTCTTAAAGTCAGGTGCCCCTAGAGTTAGCAGAGCCCAACTAACCCTGCCAAAACACCTAGGAGGAGTGGGACTACCATCCTTACTAATGTACTATCAAGTGACCCACCTCCTGAGGCTCATACACTGGCACACCACGAGCTCACTGGGGGAAGACTACCAGCGCGAGTGTGGGTCATGAGCCCTTTGGGCGACAAAAGACTGAAAGACCACCCATACATCAGTGCAACCCTATAGGTCTGGACATCCACAAGGATAACACACCACCTGACAATGCTGCACTCCCCCTTAATCTCACTCACACACAATCCAGACGTGGCCTCACAACAGGGGATCTGGCAGGTTTCAGAGATACAGACTCCATATATCTGAGACAATGGTGCATCAAACAACTCCAAGAACTCCTACCAGAGGGTGAAGTCACAGGGCCTACAAAGATTCCGATACCATCAGATTCGGAACTATTACTCAATTCTCACAGGAAAACACTCAGACAGAGAGCGTCTCCTAAGAGTAATCACACTCATATACTCAATGCTTCTTACCTCCACTCAGAGGGCTTCACCGAAATATATGGCACGCTGGGAACACCGCGCCGACACAACAGTAACTGAAAAACAATGGGGAAAAAAAATCTACACACTGGCACACTAAGGTAAGATAGGTACGAAATTACAAGAGCTGAACTACAAAAGTATGACCTGCTGGTACAGAACCCCCACACGTCTCCACCGCATGAACACTACTGATACATGCTGTAGATGTGAGACCGATGTAAGAACTGACATGCACATATGGTGGTCATGCCTAAAAATCCAGCCTTTCTGGCAAAAAATACATAGACGATTGAAGAGATCTTAGACACGGATCTGCAAAAGCAACCTCTGCCTATGCTCCTACACCACACAAAACTTCCTTTATCCACCTACAAACATTTGCTCACTAGACGCCTTAAACACAGCAAAAGCCCTCATTCTGACCAGGTGGCATAAAACCGATGTCCCCACTTTACAAAATTAGATGGGCAAGGTAGAAGACCTGCATGGAATGGAGACACTCACTGCCTCACTCTGCAGGGTAACAGAACGATGCCCCATGGTTAGACTTTGTATCCAAACACACAGTGCACTTGACCTGAACCCCACTTTTTTTGTATCTCCTTCATCTCTCCCCCTCACCTGTGCTTCTTCTCTGGACTGGGGGAGATGGGAACAGGAGGTTCAGGTTCTTGTTAAACTTTACTTTTACCAAGCAAGCCCCATGCGCTAGGTAAAGACCAAGACTCTATCAGCGATGCACGGTGTACACTGCAGCCACAAATATACGACCTCAGACAGCAAAAGCCACAGACCCACACACACATCAGTAAACGCACAAAACTAAATCTGAGCCAACGAACATGTATGCTATATACTCTATGTTAGATACATGACCATATGAATATAACATTGTTTTGATTGCTGCAAGTGACAATAGGCGAGGTACAAAGCTACCCCATAAAAAATGGAGTTAGGGCTTGCTGGGAGGGGGAGGAAGTGGGGATAGCTGGGAAAAAGGTCCACAGTAAGATGAAGTAACGTGCTGCAACACGTTCAATGACTGGAACATTAGTGGCTTATAGAACTGCCTGTTACAAGTTCGTTCACTATGCATGTTCTAAGTTGATACTTATCCTTAATGAAACAATGATGTGTACTGCTTTTGCTTGATTACCCTCTGTTTAGTACTGAAAAATGAAAAACCTAAAATAAAGATGGTCAAAAAAAGAAAAAAAAAGAAATAAGGAAAATAATGTTCATCGGAATCAGTGTGGGTGGTACAATCCCCACCTGGAATATGTAAGTACTGTAGATAAAATGCAGTGGTGTCAGCAGGTATTCTCCAAAAATGATAAAATAATTAAGGATATAATTAAATAAAAAGCGGGACCAATTAAAATTGAATATATTGAATGGTAACAACAAAGGACATTGTTCATCTTCCCCGGTTAACAAACTTCTCCCCAGGCATTGATAAAACATGCTGGAATGCATATGCGGTTCAAGCATGAAGAAAAAAGCCGAACCAGAAGTAGACGCGCATTGACGTAAGATGCTGGAACGCACGTTGTGTTCCACGGACCGAAAACATGAAACCGGAAGGAAACAACGAGCGGGAGATTTAAAGAGAGGAGGATAGAGAAGACGAATACAACCAACTGAGGAAGCCCATTTGAAAGGTCAAAACGCATTTTGGACCCTCACTGGACTACTTAGCCAACCAGAGGACATTATACCTGGTATCTATAATTGTTTTTAATGTATTATTTCTTTATTTTTATAACTTTATGAATAAAGCACCTTTTTGGAATATATCTCTGGTATCCTGTGAATGCACTTCTGGGATCTTGCATTTTGTGAAATACTGACTATACTGAGGGTCAAGCAGTAACAGCTCCAGAAAAGAGAACCAGAAAAAAGGAATTAGACATCTTAAAAGTGTCCACAGGCTTTTACCATTTGAGTCATATGTGATCAATGGCTCTTGACTTGTGAGTGATACTCCTAATGTTCATATATTAAATTTAATTTGTTTCAACAATATTGCACTATTGTTTTGCATTTTTATACTATTACAGATTTACACTGAACTCCTACTTAAGAAGCTCTGCCTTGTGTATGTATATTGTTGTATTTTGTAGAAGTGGTTTAGGGGATACCACCTATGGTGTATTAATCTTATAATTTGTAATGGAGCTTCCTGTACACTGGCTGGGTACCTCCACCAAGGACTGCTTCCTAGCTGGTGCTGAGGACTATAAGCACCGCACCGGATACCGTAAGCACCATAGACCCCCACGAACCGCCGCAGCTTGGTTGGGGTCTCCCCTTCCTCCACCCACCCTGGACCCAAGACTAGGATCCAGCTTCCAGTAGGTGAACCTCTCCTCCAAGAGAGTGTAGCAGGAAGAGCTCTTACAAGAGCTTATAGTGATAGCTGTATAGCAGTTTCCTACAATAAGAGACAAAACTCTAGATTGAGGGTGAATTAAGCCTGGTTTAATTGTAGCCACACTGGCCTTTTATGCAAGTCCCCAAGCAAGGGATACGCCCACATGGACCTTGTTGGGGACAGGGACACAGAGCTTACAAACCAATCAGAACAGTAATTAAATGTATGACACTCCTATAACAAACATACAATCCCTCCCCTCTGCCTGTGAGATAATTGAGTAAAGTACTGTATGTAACTCAATTATCTCCAGGCAGAAAAAACACATACACAAAAAACACAGGTCCCATAAGTACCCCAAAACACAACATATCCCCATAAACATCCCCTGATAGCCATGATCTGGGTGAACAACATATCTAAAAATCACCCAGATCACAGCAAGGATTCAGGAAATCCCTGGAAGTCTATTTTTGACTGCATGCATGCATGGTTTCATGCATAAAACAGTTCCAGAGATTCAGGGTTTGCGGCCAGTCTAGTTTGGTAGTTTGCAAACGAACAAACTTCCTGAACAGAGTCAATAGTCTTACCCTGGAGCTTTTTCCTTTCATCTAGATGAATGATCCCACCAAACAGTGCCCTTCTAAGCGGAATAGAAACAAATGCAGGCGATGATGGAAGTCCAGCGGTGTTCGGGAGTTCCTGTATCCGATTTCAGTTCCATGAGCATCATGCCCAAACACTGCAGCCTGCGTACATCAAGCAAGATGGCTGCCACCTCGTGGTTGTTCAAAGGAATCGCGGCCACCTAGACGAACATATAGAACACTGCAGTGAGAAACGTTCCAAATTGTTAATAGGTGTTAACAAGCTTCAGGGTGGTCTCTTTTCATGCACTTGTTCGGTAAACAAAACATATAGTCCCAATTGCACAAACAGGGCCTGTTTGAAGTATTTTAGCCAGGTCTATTGCAGGGGCCATAGTAACATGGTAAAAGGCTGGCAAGTAGTCTCCTCCAAAAACCAGTGGCGAGGTCACTTTCGTCACATAATTAATTTGTTTTCTCCACATTATGCACCTATTTGTAGATCTTTTATTATTTGTTTGGTAAAAAATTTTTATTTAAAAAAATAAATCAAATTTAAACACACTGGGTTTGTTCTATTGAGTTGCACTATTGGATCCCCTTTTTGTGTATTTCATGTGAGATGCGTATGCTGTGAAGATAACGTTAGACTTACCAGTGTCCCTATAAAGACCCTGTTGTGATTCTTCACCTAATATCCTATGACAAGGATTATATTGTCAGAAGCAGATACAATCCAGCCAACAGACAGCTCCTTGTTTGACTTTCTTATTATTTTACAAGAACATCCTTTGTAATTATAAATTCCAGTTACTACTATTTGCATACAACTGTATTTCTTAGCAATACCAGTACTGCCTAGTTATTTGGCACAACCTGTTTTCTTTCTTTTCTTTGGATTGTTAGGGTATCCAAATACCAGAGTTTGCTGCCATTTTGAAGTCAGTGTTGCATCTATTTACCAGCAGATGAATGTAGTTGGCAGAATGAAAGTGTACAGGGGATACTCAAAGAATTAGAATATCGTGCAAAAGTTAATTTATTTCAGTGATGCAATGTAAAAGGGGAAACTAATATATGAGATAGACACATTACATGCAAAGCAAGATAGTTCAAGCCGTGATTTGTCATAAGTGCCATGATTATAGCTTATAGCTCATGAAAACCCCAACTCCACAATCTCAGTAAATTAGAATATTACATGCAATCAATAAAACAAGGAGTGTACATAGAACAATATCGGACCTCTGAAAAGTATAAACATGCATTTGGACTCAGTACTTAGTTTGGGCCCCTTTTGCAGCAATTACTGCCTCAATGCGGCGTGGCATGGAAGCTATCAGCCTGTGGCACTGCTGAGGTGTTATGGAAGACCAGGATAGATACATAGAAACATAGAATGTGACGGCAGATAAGAACTATTCGGCCCATCTAGTCTGCCCAATTTTCTAAATACTTTCATTAGTCCCTGGCCTTATCTTATAGTTAGGATAGCCTTATGCCTATCCCACGCATGCTTAAACTCCTTTACTGTGTTAACCTCTACCACTTCAACTGGAAGCCTATTCCATGCATCCACTACCCTCTCAGTAAAGTAATACTTCCTGATATTATTTTTAAACCTTTGTCCCTCTAATTTAAGACTATGTCCTCTTGTTGTGGTAGTTTTTCTTCTTTTAAATATAGTCTCCTCCTTTACTGTGTTGATTCCCTTTATGTATTTAAATGTTTCTATCATATCCCCCTGTCTCGTCTTTCCTCCAAGCTATACATGTTAGGATCCTTTAACCTTTCCTGGTAAGTTTTATCCTGCAATCCATGAACCAGTTTAGTAGCCCTTCTCTGAACCCTCTCTAGGATGATTCAATAGCGGCCTTCAGCTCTTCTGCATTGTTCAGTCTCATGTCTCTCATCTTTCTCTTGACAATGCCCCATAGATTCTCTATGGGGTTCAGGTCAGCAAGTTTGCTGGCCAATGAAGCACAGTAATCTTGGTGCTTTCCTGCTGGAAAATGAAGTCAGCATCCCCATAAAGCTCGTCTGGGGAAGGAAGCATGAAGTGCTCCAAAATCTCCTGGTAGACGGCTGTGTTGACCCTGGACTTAATGAAGCACAGTGGAGCAACACCAGCAGATGACATGGCTCCCCAAATCAACACAGATTGTGGAAACTTCATACTGGACTTCAAGCATCTTGCAGTGTGTGCCTCTCCATACTTCCTCCAGACTCTGGGTCCTTGGTTTCCAAATGAGATGCAATAGTTGCATTAACTTTCTATTAATGTACTTTAGGAACATCCAGCTTCCTTTGCAATTACCTTTTGAGGCTTTCCATCCTTATGGAGGGTGTCAATTATGGTTTTCTGTACAACTGTCAGGTCAGCAGTCTTCCCCATGAATGTAATTCCTGCTGTACCAGACTGAGAGACCATTTAAAGGCTCAGAAACCATTTGAGAGTGTTATGGCTTACTTAGCTGATTAGAGTGGGGCACTGTGAGCCTAGAATATTGCACCGTTTCACAATATTCTAATTTAAGGATATTGTGGATTTGGGGTTTTCATGAGATGTAAGCCATAATCATGCACTTATGACAAATCACGGCTTGAACTATCTTGCTTTGCATGTAATGCGTCTATCTCATATATTAGTTTCCCCTTTTACATTGTATTACTGACATAAATTAACTTTTGCACGATAGTCTAATTTTTCGAGTATCACCTGTATGTGGATACAAAAAGAAAGTTTATATGTGTAGGTTGTTCTAAGAGTGTATGGTGTATGTTTGTGCATATGGTGGCTGTGATTAGCGTACAGACTGTAGCTGCCAATTTTGATAGCAAATTTCATATGCAGGTTGGGAACCTCTGTCTCACTTACCACCACCCCAAATAATCAGAGTTCATCTGTCTCCGAAAGGAAGAGGAGAGTGTTATCTAGAAATGCTGTCATAACATGCACACTTCAGAGCTGTATTGATTGATAGAAATCCCTGGTGGATATTGTTTAGGAACCCTTAACCACTAACTAGCCAAATCGAGTAAAAACCTTTTCTTTTTTTTTTTTTTTTGCATATATTTATCAGAATTAAATCTAGTCCTTAAAGCCCTCATTTAGAAAAAAATTACCTGCAGTGAGGAAGAGGGAGGAGTGAGACGGCTTTGCTTTATCATGGTTAGCATTACATTAGTATTCCGAAGATTGATAAACATTATATAGCTGTTTTATATATATATATATATATACACGTGTGTGTGTGTGTGATTTAACTGTATTCGCTGTATGTAGGCATTGTGCTCAAATGTAGACATTGTTTTCACAATCTGTTGCCAGTTTCAGTAAGCTACACTGCTAATAATACCTTCAGAGTCCTTACAAATACCTAGACAAGGTATTTGATCATTTGAATCTATCCATTCACATCACACTTACTGTATGTGAGAAAAATAGAATTTTTGCAATTATACTAACATTTCAGACCTTGTGCGAAATATTTCACGATAAAGTACACTGTATATGTCTAAAGCTTTTCATTTTCCAAATATTTATTTTTTTAAAGGCTGAACAAATAAAATGTTTTTTTTTTTTTTTACATTTGTCTGCAAAGCAAGCTATACACAAAATTGCTGTTATAATGTGTTTATTTTCAAACTAATAATTCCTTACTTCAAATAAATATTATGCTAATACTTTTTTAATCAAAAAGTACTCTCTAGTGATGGTGCTAAAATGATGGTTATGAAGATGATTATCTAAGTATTTTTCCTCTGTTGACACTGCTTGACACTGGGTGGAGCTACCAATGTCAAGACGTTTCAATCTCTCTACTATCACCAGTGACATCTGCGGGGAAATTAGCTGTGTCTATGGAGGATCCCACGTTCTTGCAAGATTCTCCACAGATCTCTGCTGTACTCTCACACAGCAGTGACATTGGCTCCTGGCAGCTAAAGCACCAGAAGCTGAAGAGGACCTACTGGAAAAGGATCAGGTCAAGGGACAGGTTCAGGTAAGTAGAACTCACCTTTCCCTGCCCCCTCTGGTCACCGGCCCCAGCGGTGACGTGACTGTTGGGGGTCTTTGCAAATTATGCAAAGTCCCCAGATGGTGACAGTGTCATTTTAAGTGCTACAAGATAACAAGGAGGGTGAATTGTATTTAAATGATATATCTAATTTTTAGAAATACATTGTATATTTAGAGAAACCCCTGTTGTTAGGGGTTAGTTAACAGTAGGGGGATATCAGAACCCTATGTTTCACAGGAAAACAATTTCCAAACTACTACACTGTTCTTATTATTAAAAAAAGGTTTAATAATGACATTAAAGTGTATTAACACCTTAAGGACATAGAAAATTGTACAATTTGTAATCAATACAAAACCTGGAATTTGAGCTATAAGTCTGTTCAACCATAATTCACCTCTATCATATTTAGTGCACCCACTCTTCTTGTATATCATTTTGTTCAGGAGAAACAGGGCATTTATTTCACATCAAGTATGCATATATGAAACATAATTTAATATGAATATAATCAAAACCAATTGAGACATTTTGTTATTTTTCAAGTTCTGCATGCCATTTTAACTGTAATTGTCATAATACTGTTAGCTTGTGCTGCAATAAAATACACATTTTTGTATTCAGCGATGTCTCATGTGTAAAACAGTATCCCTATGTACAGGTTTTATGGGGGTTTTGAAGTTACAGGGTTAAATATAAGGCTTTCCCCATTTACAGTTTTTTTTATATATTAAAATTTGCCAGATTGGTTTGCTGGGAATATGTTGCCTTTTAGACTGTATGGCAGCCCAGGAATGAAAATGACCCACATCATGGAATACCATTTGAAAAAGTAGACAACCCAGGGTATTCAAAATGGGTTGTGTCCAGTCTTTTTAGTAGCCATTTAGTTACAAAGGCTGGCCAAATTTAGCTTTTAGTTTTTTTTTGCATTTTTCACAAATGGTATCATCAGCATTATATGTTGTATTGCTCCTAAACACTCATATTTGTATTCAATAATTTCTCACAAGTACACCAGTACACCCCATTACCATGTTTTATGGTGTTTTTGAAAGTTACAGGTTCAAATATAAGGCTTGCTCATTTCTGTTTTTGCACATTTAATTTTTCCAGATTGGTTATCTTGCATTTGAGACCGTATGGTAGTCCACCAATGAGAATTACCACCATCATGACATACCATTTGAAAATGTAGGCAACCCAGGGTATATAAAATGGCGTATGTCCAGCTTTTTGTTAGCAGCCTCAAGCAGTCACAAAGGGTGACCAAAGCTAACGTTCACAATTGATTGCTGCATTTTTCACACAAAAAACTGCACTTTTACTGATGATAATAAGATTGTTGTGATGAATTTTACTGTTTTTTGTTCAGTGAAGTCTCCTGAGTACAACAGTACCCCACATGTACAGGTTTTATGGTGTTTTGGAAAGTTACAGGGTTAAAGATAGGGCTTGCAAAATAAATTCTCAGGACTTCCTGCCTGAGTTTTTACAAATTGTAATTAGTAAAATTACATAATTATGCAAAAAGATTACATAAATATAGGTAGAATATATATATATATATATATATATATATATATATATACACACATTATCTCACAAAAGTGAGTACACCCCTCACACTTTTGTAAATATTTTATTATATCTTTTCATGTGACATCACTGAAGAAATGACACTCTGCTACAATGTAAAGTAGTAAGTGTGCCGCCTGTATAACAGTGTAAATTTGCTGTTCCCTCAAAATAACTCAACACACAGCCATTAATTTCTAAACCATTGGAAACAAAAGTGAGTAAGTGGAAATATCCAAATGGGGATTTAGTTACATTATATGATCATACATTCATGGGCGTCCGCAGGAATGTTTCCGAGGCAGAATTGTGATGACATCCATGCTTGGTCCCTTTTTGACAGTGTCATGAAGGGGAGGGGCATAGTCATTATCACATAAAGCCAAAGTGAATAGTGTTTTCACAACTATGGTGTCAGGAAGGGCAGATTGACGTCAGGCATGGGTGCGCAGATTGGCTAGAGTGGTCAGCTGATGCTCTAAGCCAATTGCTAGCTCCAGGTTCATAAAAATGTTTTACTTTTTTATGAATGGGGAGCTACTGATTGGCTTAGAGTGCCAGCTGACCACTCTAGCCAATCAGCGGCACCCCTACCCATCGGCACTCTGTGCTTCCTGACACTCAGTAAATAAAAGTGAACACATTAACACTGATATTTTTATACCTGGGGAGATGAGAAGGTCTGCAGTTGCCCTACCAGGCCCAGGTACCAAAGCCTTATGATGTGGTGTTCAGAATGAAGTGGAGGAATCACTTCACTTGTCCTTCCTGCTGCAATCTCCTTTTCTTCTACTTTATTTGACACAGTCTTCTTTTTTTTTCTGGCACTGTCTTCTCTTCTCCTAGGTTCCTTCTGCTCCTTGATCTTTCTGCTACTTTCTGCTTCTTTTGCACCCTTCTGTTCCTTTCTCTTTCTGATCCCTTTCTGCTCCTTGCAGACCCTTTCTGCTCCTTCTGCTCATTGCAGACCCTTACTGCTCCTTCTCCTACTTTACTTTTGTGCTCTTTGTTACCCCCTTTCTGTTCCTTCTCCTACTACCTTTGTGCTCCTTCATATTTTTTCTACTC